TCTATTACACTTTCTAAGTTATCTTCATCTCCATTCCTTTGACTGCAAGTTCAATGTAACATTTTTTTAAATATTTTTAGTTATACATAAGCACAATATCTTTACTTTATTTATTTTTATGTGGTGCTGAGGATCAAACCCAATGCCTCACATGTGTGAGGCAAGCGCTCTGCCACTGAGCCACAATCCCAGCCCTCAATGTAAAATTTTTTAAAGCACATGCAGAGAACTAGGGGTGTAGCTCAGTGGTAGAGTGCTTGCCTAGCACATGTAAGGATTGTGTTCTTCACAAGCACGGCAGGGCAGCAGGGTGGGGGATTGTGGGGACATGGGAAAGCATATTAAAAGGTACTGGAAACTGAAACATAGGAAGCTGAGCCATCTTATCCACCATAGACTCCCTCTCTTCCATGTGGAGTGTTTAGGTTGCTGGGAGGCACTTGGAGAGCCTCTGATGCAGGCCTAAGTGGCTAATCAGGTAAACCCTAGGTAAGCCTAACCAGAGGTGCCAGAGACACTCCCGACTCGCCTCTGGGGGTCCTCAAGGGCCCCCCCACACTTATTCGGCCACACCCAGTCTGGGATTCAAAGGCTTCCAGCCACTATAAAGGTAGATGCTGGGCCAAAGAGATCCGGGATATAGGATGGCTTAAGCCAACCATCAGGCGGTCAGGCCCTCCAATGTGGAGTGGTCATACATCAGCCTTTGGTCCAGACACCAACCAGGAACAACTGCAGAATGCTTTTGCCATGTACAAGTCTACATTTAGAATTTTATCCTATAGTTATACCCTCACACATAAGAAATTATATGCCCAAGGATATTTACTGAAATAGCATTACTTTGTAAAAGTACAAAATAGAACACAAGGTAAGTATTCATGAAAAATACATGTTTTAAAAGCACTGAAGAGGAAGACAAACTGTATAAGACTTATGAAATTTGTATTTTAGTGGGAGAAATAAAAGTGGTAAGTAAATTTGTAGTATCTTATGAAGTAACTGCCAAATTGAACAATACTTAAGATACATCATTGAGGGGAGAAATGGTGGAAACTGTGTATATTGTATGCTATCTTTTGTGTTAGAAGTATGTGTTTGTTCTGAAGAAATTGACAAGGACACTGGAAGGAGAAAAAACCTCTATCTGCATGGATTAGATGAAACATATTGTTAAATTGGCCATACTACCCAAAGTGATCTACAGATGCAATGCAATCCCCATCAAAATTACTAATGACATTGTTTGCAGAACTAGAAAAAAATAATTCTAAAATTCATATGAAAGCAAAGACCTTGCATATGCAGAGCAATGCTGGAGGCATTACAATACCTGGTTTCAAAACATAGCATAGAAGCAGGATGTGGTGACCCATGGCTGTAATTCCAGTTTGGGAAAGCTGAGGGCAAGAAGATCTCAAGCTCATAGGTCTGCCTGGGCAGTTTAGGGAGACACTGTCTTAAACTACAAATTAAAAGGCGGGGGTAGTAATGTAGTTCTGTTGTAGAGTGCCCTGGGTTCAATTCCCAGTACCACCATAAATCAATCTGCCATGTTATATTTATTTTTCTTTTCCAGTGCTGGGAATGGAGCCAGAGTCTCACACTTGCATGCTTTCTACCATTGAGCTGCACTCCAGTCTACCTGTACTCTGCTGAGCAGAAAGCTTTTTTTTCAACTGATATCTTCTATGTTCAGGGAAAATCAGCTCTTCCTCTGCTTCCACCAAAGTCTGGTCTCTGGTCTCCAATCGCTGGGGGTCTCCACTGTCCCCATCTGAAGGGTCAATAAAACCATAGCTAGGATTAGGGAATGGTTGAGGATACAGTCAACAAAGAGGGGAACCAGCCAGGCCTCAGAGTCTGTCCCACTTCCACCTATCCCCAGGTGGAATTGTCTGGGTTTTTTCTGTAAAACACCTGCTGTGATGATCACCTACATTCTGCAACTTATCTTATTCTGCAACCACCATCTTAGAGCCTAGTTGTAAAGTGTCTACCTGGTTTGGGGTGCCCCCCCACTAAGAGTGGGAGACAGGGCTGGGGTTGTGGCTCAGTGATAGAGTACTTGCCTCGCATATGTGAGGTACTGGGATCAATCGTCAGCACCGCATAGAAATAAATAATAAAGATACTGTATCCATCTACAACTAAGATAATTTAAAAAAAAAAAAAAAAAGAGGGGAAGGGGCTGGGGATGTGGCTCAAGCAGTAGAGCGCTTGCCTGGCATGCGTGCAGCCCAGATTCGATCCTCAGCACCACATACAAACAAAGATGTTGTGTCTGCCGAAAACTAAAAAAAAAAAAAAAAAGGAAATAAATATTAAAATCTCTCTCTCTCTCTCTCTCTCTTAAAAAAAAGAGAGGGGAGACAAACACTACTTGCTTGTGCAGTACAAAACTTAAAAAAAAAAAAAAAGGTTTTCTTCTAACCTCAAATAATGAAGGGAAACATAAATAAAATGCTTGTGCCCAAAGACCAGGGTAAGGAAATGGAGGGGCAGTAAGAAAAAACATTGGCCACACTACTGCAGCATTAAGTATCAAGGCAAAGTAGAAACAGTTGATGAGCACACAGCTTCAGCTGGGTCCTGCCTCAGGAGACCAGCTCTGACTACACCTCCAGAGTCTGCTCACAATTGCAGTTTCAGCACTCTGGCTCCAGGGTCAATTATCAAATTGGTTTCAGGCTGGGTCAGCTTTGGAAACACCTCTTGTTTAGGACTCACTGTCTCAACAGAAATGGGATGGGAAGAGAGGCATCCCATTCCTCTCCTAAATGGACAATATCCAACTAATGGGATGGGGTGCGGACAGAGGCCTGGGCAGCTGTCCAGAATTTTGGGTGCATCATAAGGACCTAGAACATGGGCCAATTTGGCCCTTTGTGGTACAGGTTGAGTGGAGGGTGGGTGGGATCCAGGTCAATTCCTGTCTTCTCCTTGCTTTACCTTCCATCCTTGAAAGCTGCCATCTGCTCCCTGTGCCCTATACCCTGTTACCTGAGACTGGCTTTGAGGGCATAGTCATGAATAGTCTGTGGTGCTTCTTCAGTTTCACCTGGAAAATGGTTTTGGACATCAGCTCCAAGAGAAGCAGAGATCTATCATGAGTGGACAGGAGGATTTCCAGAACCCCCAGGATTGTGGGTGGGACTCTACCCACAGTCACTCAAGGAGGGGACAGAAAAGAAGAGCACCTAGATGAAAAGACCTAATGATACTGCATAGGAGCTCTCAAGGAATGGTCCTCTTGTGAATGTAGAGACAGACTAACATGCTCAGAGTTTCCAGTTAGTTTTTGTTTTTGTTTTGTTTTGTTCAACTCCCAAGCCTTCATGATTAGGGGACAATATAAGAGCAAAGAGATGAAAAAGAAGAATATCAGTCAAGAGGAACCAACTTTTCTTTTCTGGATCTAGGGATCGAATTCAGGGGTGCTCTACCACTGAACCACACCCCCAACCCTTTCTATTTTTTGAGACAGGAGCTCTCTAGTAGCCCTGGCTGGCCTCAAACTCAAAATTCTCCTGCCTCTGCCTTTTAAGTGGCCGGAAATTATGCATCACTTTGTAGGCTCAGATAGTCAACTTTTTTTTTTTTTTTTGCACTAGAGATTGAACAAAGGGGTGCTTAATCACTGAGCCACATCCCCAGCCTTTTTTTTTTTTTTTTTTTTGAGAGAGAGGGTCTCGCTAAGTTGCTGAGGCTGGCTTTGAACTTGCCATCCTGCCTCAGCCTCCCCAGCAGCTGGGATTATAAATGTATACTACTGCACCCAGCTAAGAGGGTCAACTTTTGAGTAACAGAATTCTAGAAAGAAAAAAAAAACAGAATGGCCTAAAATTCTCAAAAGGATTACTGCGAGTTAGGGGAAAATCAAAGCATGACACTTTTTCTTTTTATTTATTTACTTATTTATTTTTGGTGGTGCTGGGGATTGAACCAAGGCCTTGTACATGGGAGGTAAGAACTCTACCAACTGAGCTATATCCCCAGCCAAAGCATGAAATTTTGAAGGAATTTTTTCTTTTTGGGGTGGTGGGGATACTAGAGATTTAACCCAGGGACAATTTACCACTGAGCTACATCCTCAGCCTTTTTTATTTTGAGACAGGTTCTCACTAAGTTGGTTAGGACCTCACTAAGTTGCAGAGACAGGCCTCAAACTTGTGGTCCTCCTGTTTTAACCTCCCAAGTCACTGGGATTACAGGCATGCATCACTGTGCCTGGCAATAGAAAATTTTATTTCTAATGAAGAATTCTATGGCTACTTTGATGAATAACTGAAGTATAATAAACTGCTTATATTAAAATGTGTACAATTCATTACTTTTGACACATACAAATACACCAATTACTGTAATCAAGACAATGCACATTTCCATCATCCTTAAGAGTTTTTCTACTACTTCTTTCCACTCTATACGTTTCTCCATATCCATTCCCAGGCAGTTGCTCGCTGGTTTCTGCACTATATATCAGTCTCCATCAATTAGAATTTTTAACACAAACTAGTTATACTACAATTCTAATTCTCTTAAATATTTCAACTCTATTTTGAAGTTTCAGGAAGGAAAGATAATCTACATACACCAAAACACACATGCACGCAAAAGAATAACATGCCTGCAAAAGAATAACATGCCTAGAATTTTAAGTACCCTCTTACAACAACTAAGGAACAATTTATCATTGTGGTATAAGAAATAGATTTCAGACTAGAAATTTTCGTGCAAATGATAGATTAGATTCTTGTGGGTAACACTGACAGTACATCAAATTTCAATTTTCAGTTGTATGTCAAATCTCCATCATCTCTAGGTGGGATGATTATGGTTGTAGAGCCCAGATCCTTGAGTTTCTGTTATATGATCACCTAATTGTTCTGCCTACCCACAGAAGTTTATTACTCCATCATTTAATGTTTTGTTTTGTTTTGTTTTGTTTTGTTTAAACAGGATCTTGCTAAGTTGCTGTTGTCTTGACTTTGAAATCCTCACCTCCTGAATAGCTGGGATTACAGGTCACCACACCTGGCCTTTTGACTCTTAATTCATATTCTGTTTAGATTTCAAGACTTTTGATCCTATTAGATAGTTGCAATTTCTTAGGTGTTTCTTTGAATTACAGAGTTCCCACAGAGAATACAAGAAGCAGACTGACAATTCTAGGAATCTCTTCCCTCTGGGTTTGGGCATTACACCCCTCCTACTGACACCAGAATCATAACTTCATCTCTTGAATAACAGTTAATAAACAGTGCTTTAAGTGGAACAGGAAAATAAACAGAAATAATGTTGTTTACAGAATGGAGACACTAGAAAAGTTTCAAGCACTTCCCCTTCTAGTATCCAAACCACGTGAATCATCTGTTGTTGGTTGTGTTAAGGCTTATTAAAGGTACGCACGTAACCCTTGCCTGTGCTCTGCTGTCTCAAAAAGATAGAAGAATCTAGAAATGTGGTGGCCAGAAGGAGAGAACTCGGTGGCCAAAGGTCAGAAGGATGTGGAGGTTTGAATTTAGTCCTTTAAGTAAATATTAGTCCCACAAGAATCGGTACGTTTTTTCCGTAAGAGATTCTGTGCAGACGTTGGTTCTCTCCTACGCCACTGGAACTGTCCTCACTTTCCTGAGTCCCAGATTGGATGTCCCAAGTCCAGAGCCCCGCTTTCCCTCCAGGTGCGTGAGAGGAGCGCGGGTCCAGAAAGCCCAGATACCAGGGCTTTCACCTGGGGTGGAGAAGTGGGAAGCGAGGCCTGGGATCCAATGAGAAGAGCTCGATTGGGAGGGGCTAGCCGAAAGCCCTTGAAATAAGACTCCTGCGAGAGCCGGAGCTCCTTCCAGCTATCTCCAGCACAGATTTAGCATCCCCTCGGACACTTTTCGCCCGCCCTTAGCTCGTGCGGCATGGCCACTTCCAAGAAGTTTCACACGCTTGTGGAAGTGCAACAAAAAGGAGGAAAAATTTTTGAGGTCCTGGGAGACCCCACCGAGGTACCTAGCTGGTTCCACTCCCAATACCTAAAGTGTCCTAGAGTGGTGTACCTGGAGGCGTGGCTGGTGGAAGCAATGTTCGGTGAGTGGGCCATGAAGGAACGGGAGATGGAGCCTCCTTTCCTGCCACTTCTACCTACGCCCCTCACAGTCCGAGCGCGTCCCAGGGAAGGGCTCTCCAGGGGCCCAGATCCCAAGTTCTTGCCCCAGCGCGGCCTTCGCCCAGCACCTTCCCCTCCCAAGCCCGGTGAGTCATTTGTACCCTCTCGACCTCCCTGCGCAGGCCCGGACGGAGAGAAAATCCCGCATGTCGAGTGTGTGACCCACACCGTGCTTCACGTGAATTGGTGGAATCCTGAAAGCGATGCTAAGATCTTGATATTTGGGAGGCCTAATTTCCAACTGGATGTATTCGAGATGATCAGACACCTGGCTAACTACTTCCGTCTGCGCCGCGGGGTGCTAAGTACGCGGGGCCCGGGAAGGGAGGACCATCCCCCACAAAGCCCCTCTACTTGGGAGGGACCCTGAAGTTTTCTGGGTGGCAGTCTCGCCCTCTCGGTCTGGCTGGGAAAGGGTTTCGTCTTTGCAAGGACTCTAGAAAGCCAAATTCACTCAGCGCTCTGGGACTCTGGCCCCACATCCTCAGCCAGCAGGAGTGACAATACATTTGTGGGGAGGGTATGGAAACACAGGTGCAATCTCTTCCCATTACTTTTCTTCCAGGCTCAAAGAAAGCCGCTGCCCAGATGGCTGAGACCCAGGAGACTGGGGCCAAGGAGGCTGAAACCCAGGAGACTGGGATTCAGAGATCTCCAGATGAGATTCCTGAGGCCGGGACCCAGCTGTCTCCGGACCTGAAAGTCCCAGAAGCCGGGACTCGGCAGCCTACCGAGGTAGCCCAGGACCTGGTTACCAGGTTATGAAGGCATCTTTGAGTCGGGAGAGCCAGGAGTTAAAGTGGAAGTCTCCGAAGAAGTCGTATTCCTAATAGTTCTCCTTCTACCCTAAAAGCTGGGGAAAGATTGTGTGATATGATTTGTTTCCCCCCTATGTTAAATGTAAACACGAATTTAAAAAGTTCTAATAAAAAAATCAAATTGGAAGGTAGAAAGAGAATACCACATTCCTCCCCAAATTCTGTGTGCTGTCCTCTACCCCAAGGCAGGTGAGACCTTTTGGATTGCTAGCTGCCCAGGACCAATAGTCCCCAGCTGAGGTCAGGTGTTTCTCTTGTGCTCCTTAACGCAGGGCACCTGACTTTGCAAAAGGTGCGAGACCTTCCGATTGAGTCAGTCCTTGTATGGAAACCTCTCCAAACCGTAATTCTACTCAAGGTGACTTGGGATTTAGAAACCTGGTAACTGGGATCCAGTGGCTGCTACCCAGCTGAATATGAAAGGCCCACTTGGGTGTACCCCCACTCTGCCACCCAATGCTTCCCAACTGGGGCAACTGACCGCAGAGAGGAGGGAAACTGCAAGAGTCGGGAGGCAATGCTGAGATCCTCAATCCTTGTCAGGGTCAACCAAGCTTTGGTGAAATTGGACATGAACCAGCCCCAGGCAGAATAAGGTTAATCTCCTTAGTTAATTCAGCAACTAGAAGATGCGAGACATGGGGGAGACCCCTCTTGATTCCCTCTAGAGTTCTAGAGCCCAGCGCGGTACAGGAATGCCAGTCCTGGCTTGTGCGCATTAATCTGGAAGTTTGCACGCTAACGGTCTTGTATCAGGATACCAGGATTTTTTCCTTTATATTGTTAGGATACTAGGATAAAACTAACACACAGGAATCTTCGTGACATGAAATGTTTCATTTAAAACATTCAAGGAAGCCCGGAGCAGTGGCGCACGCCTGTAATCTCATTGGCTCAGGAGGTTGAGGCAGGAGGATCGGGAGTTCAAAGCCAGCCTCAGCATCTTAGCGAGACCCTGTCAGCTCAGTGGGACCCCATCTCTAAATAAAATACAAAATAGGGCTGGTGATGTGGCTCAGTGGTTAAGTGTCCCTGATTTCAATCCCCGGTACAAAATAAAACATTCAATGAGGAGAGGAAAGCAGAGCACAGCAGCTGGAAAAGCGTTCTGGATTGAGGGCATAGTGCCAAAGTTAAACATGGAGAGGAAACGGAATTTTCGTGAGGATGCATTTCCTTATACAATTTCCTCACCTGCGTGGCCCTTTTGCGACTCATTCCTATTCGCTTAAATTGTACAGCATATAAAACATCACATATAAATACAGTACAATGAAGAACTTGGTTGGTTTCTAATCTATTCCTATCTGCAAGTGAATACCCTCAGGATGATGTAAGAGCTCACTGGTAAGCACTTGCCTAGCATGCCCAAGGCCCTGGGTTAAACCCCCAGCAGAGGTTGGAGGGTATCTACTCTTTAAGAACAAGTTTGACTGGCACGGTGGTGAGTGTCTGTAATCCCAGCAACTCTGGAGACTGAGGCAGGAGGACTTCAAGTTTGAGGCCAGCCTCAACAAATTATTGGGGCCCTAAGAAATTTAGCGAGAACTTGTCCCAAAATAAAATTTAAAAACCAAGGATGTAGCTCAGTGATAAAGCACTCCTGGGCTAAATCCCCTACACCAAAAGAAAAAAGAAAAAAAAAGCAAGTTTGGCTTTAATAAACTATGGTGCTACATTAAACTTCCTTGTTGGAGGCTGGCAGAAGCCAAGGGCAAAAGAAGGCAGAATTTAAATAATATCATGCTTACATGTTTTTTAAAAAAATTTAATGTATATAGATAAGTTTTTGTAGTACTGGGTATTGAACCCAGGACTTGTAGCTTAGGAGACAAGCACTCTACCAACTGAGCTACATACCTAGACCCTAGATAAGTTTTGTTTGTTTGTTTTAAGCAATGCTTTTGGGGCTATGGTGGTGGCTCAGGGAGCACTTTCTTTTTTATTTATTTATTTATTTTTAGTTTTCGGCGGACACAACATCTTTGTATGTGGTGCTGAGGATCCAACCTGGGCCTCTCGCATTCCAGGCCAGCGCGCTACCGCTTGAGCCACATCTCCAGCCCCGGGAGCACTTTCCTAGCATGTGTGAGGCACTGGGTTTGATCCTCAGCACCACGTATAAATAAAGGTATAAAAAACTTTTTAAAAATTTTTTAAAAGCAATACTTATTACAAATCTTGACAAAATAGAAAACATTTAATGGACTGAGGGACAACTTTAGCAAGCCCCTGTCTCAAAAAAATGAAAGAAGTAGCCAGGCATGGTGGTGCCCACCTGTCTCAGTAGCTCTGGAGGCTGAATCAAGTGGATCACAAAGTTCAAAGCCAGCCTCAGCCTGTATCAAATTATAGAAAGGGCTGGGGATATGACTCAGTGATTAAGCACTCCTGGGTTCAATCTCTGAGAAAGAAAGAGGAAAGGAAGAAAAGGAAGGAAAGAAAGGAAGAAAGAAAATTAAAGTTCTGGGGATGTACCTCGGTGGTGCAGTGCCCCTGGATTCAGTCCCCAGTACTGCTGAAAAGAATTTTCACTCAGATCAAAATCTCCAGAGCTTTTCTATTATCCGCCCAAACTCACTCACTTCCTTACAAGACATCACTTTTAATTTTTTATTCAACTGTTAAATAATTGTTATACCTTTTTTCTTCTACCACAATTTTCCTAAGAATGGATATACTTTATTCAATTCATCCCTTACTGCTGATTCATATGTTCCCAAATATCTCAATTACAAACTGGTGCATCAAATTTCAATTTTTTTTCCCCTCTGTAACAGGAATTGAACCCAGTGGCGCTTAACCACTAAGCCACATTCCCAGTACTTTCCCCTGATTATGCAGAGTGGGGTCACTGTAGGAGAAGGGGTGGTGGGTCCCTCATAGCTATTGGTACCAGTCCTAGCTTATTGTCTCATAATAAAGGATAGTGGAAGGTCTTCTCCCAAAGGCACAGGACTCCACAGCACTTCCTGGGGTCTCTCAATTAGGGGAAGGGGTGGGAGTGCACAGCAACAACTAGTTACAGTGGGAAAGGAGCAGTCCAGCCTTGCCTGGGTAGAAGAAGAAATCTCCCACACCTATGCCCACTCCAATCAATAGCCAGAAAAGGGTTCATCCACTGGAGGTAATAACAGTTGGACCAGTAGTCAGGAAGAACCAGTAGTCAGGAAGAACCAGGTCAGATATCCCCAGCCTCTGATCACGCGGGAAAAAAAAAATATCAAGATAATAAACATGAATCCTCACACTAAGAGTAAGGAAAGGGAGTGAAACGAAGTTCCAACCCCCACTGCCTACAGGCTAGAAAAAGGCAGCCCTTGGCTTATGAAGTGCTGTGACCTCAAGACAGACAAATCAGGAATAAACCAGGTTTTCTGTTTTAAGGTACTGGTGATTGAACTCAGGAGCGCTTTACCACTGAGCTAAGTTCCCAGTTCTTTTTTATCTTGAGGCAGGGTCTGCTAAATTGTGAGACAATTTGCAATCATCCTGCCTCAGCCTCCGGGTCACTGGGATTACTGGCGCGTGCCATTGCACGGGCTCAATTCCTCTCACCAAAACAAGGCTTTTTTAGCCGGTCGCAAATCTGTAATCTCTTTACTGCCGAGGAGTGACTGGGGACGGGGAGAATCGCAGGAGTTAAACCGAAGCCAACTTTGAAAACAAAAACCTCTTGGCACCTTCTGACCCAAGAATTCCGCTTCTGGGAAGTGCGGGATACCATGAGAGGGGAATGTCTTGGACAGACTGGTAGTTGCAGTGTGATAGGTAATGAAAAAACAGCCCCCTCGATCCTGAAACAAAGACCTGTGTGGCATCACATAAAACCTACAGACGACTCAAACAGGACGCCCTCCGCGGACGAAGGACCTGGGACACTGAATCTTGTGGGAATCTCAACCAGCCCAGAATATTAAGGGTGGACGACTGAGTGTTTGAACGCCACCTGTGCTCAAGCCAGGTTCCAAGAAATCGCACACCCGGTGCTCCGTGGGAGTCACACTACCAGGTTTAGAGCCCCTCAAACCTAGCCCTGGGTAGAGCTGCTCACCTGTATTCCCAGGTACTCAAGGAGAGGCAGGAGAATTGCAGTTCTAGGTTAGCCTCAGCAACTTAGAGACATCGTCTCAAAAATAAAAAGTAGTGGAGATGTGACTCATTGGGAAAGCACTCCTGGGTTAAATTTAAAGTACAAAAATACTCCAGATACTTCATCTGTGAAATTAGTGAAATCATCAGCTCCCTGCCCTTGAGGACCCAATTCTGACCATAAGATCAAAAAAGGATTAGGACTTTCAAAATGATAAACTAAAATGTAAAAGCAAAACAAGTGATCAGCTTCTACTCACCCCTCACATCAAGTAAAGTCAATGTTTTGTAAATTTGCTTTATTTCATGTGAAAAGACTATTACAGACAAATTTCATTAGAATAGTTCTACAAATACATTTACCACAAAACAAACCACTATTCAAAAGGCACAGGAAAAAGTAATGTAGAGATTTAAGAATACTTGGTCTTCCATCTCTTCAGCAGGCTGTCCTCATTGGTCTAATTATTGCCATCTTGTTTGTATTAAACTGGATGCTGGATAGTTTCTGGATATGGTGAACTAGCCTTCAAGAACTCCTCAAGGCGTTTTATCTTCTTAGCTGGAAGGCAAGCAACTGATAAGCATCCACAAGGACTGGGGAGAAGTTCTGCGACCGTTTCTCAGCGGAGTCCTGAAGCTGGGATCTAGCTATAGTGATATGCCCCAGCTAAGGTTGAATTGGACAATGTGGGCCTGAATGCATCGGATCTCCGCTGTATTTCCCAAGGATCCTTCGCTAAAGGGATCACCAGGGCCTCTGCAGCTTCCTGGGGTTAAGAAACTACAAGAAGTTGTGAGAAAGAGGAGGCTAAGAAGAAGCTGTAAGCCTAACGCCATCACCTGTAGTTCCTCCGTATGAAGGTTCACAAAGACCCTCACCTCGTTGGTCACGAAGTTCTCGGAACCACACTGCCAGGCTCTGAAGAATGTTCTTTACCCGAGTCTTCACGCCGGGCTGCCCAAACACGGTGACTTCGACTAGTTCCCCGGTGTCGGTTGGGTCCACCCTCAGCAAAGCCTGGCTCATCCACTCCATTTCCGAGAGTACGGTTCCGTCTTGGCCTAAACAGGTAAGGAGAGACTTTCAGGAGGAGCTAGATTTGGAGGGGCTGTTGGCTAGGTAAAGGGCGAGCAGGAGCTGACGGTCAAATCAACGCCAATGGCCTGCGAATTTGAGAAAGAGATTGTGGAGTCACTAGCAGCCTGTCCTACACTGGAGGAGGCGAGCCCGAGGATACCCGGGTCAGGCTGGCTCACCAAAAATTGGGTCTACCAGCCAGGGGTCCAGGTGAAACACCAGAGGTTCGTTCAGTTCCTGCGCGGAAAACCACCACGGCCGGACGCGAATCGGTGGTGGCGGAACGTGAAACCCGAGCAGCTTATCCAGGGAGTGAAACGGCATCCCTGACATCCCTTCGTCCCCAGCGGCTTCATCTGCACCGGAGTGGCCGAGCATGATAGACTCCAGAGAGTCCGCAGCCCAAAGAACGTGCTCCAAATGGCTGTCTCCGGCTTCCTCCAGCCCCAGGTTTCCCCAGCGGGCTCCTTTATACAGTGCTCGACACCCCACCCATCCGGCACCCTCCCGCTGCGCAGGCCCACTTGACACCCAGCTTCCCGCGCTGCTCGCGACCCCCAGCTACTTTTGACTTGAGCTGGGTTTTGATCTCAGACGCCCTGGGGTCCTCATTTCAGCCTTGGAAGGCGTCCTGTAGTCTCAAAGGCTCGTGATTCATTAACATGTGAATTTGATTTGATGACCCTTTGACCCTGAATCACCTGTGCCAAGGTTAAGGTTTGCATATCACCTTCTAAGCACTAGTGGGTAGATCAGACCTAGGACAGACTCCTCAAATCTGTAAAATTTCTCAAGTCCTCCTCGCTGCTGTCTTCTGACTGTCCGGGTGGTTACAATTTTAGATTTTTATTCCACTTGAACACTTAAATTTTCAGCCCTCTGTGAACTTACATTCAGAAGTCTTAATATTGTGCTTCAGTTTATAGACTAGCCATTCTCTTATTGCAAATATCCAAAATGATCAGTCTCTTCACGTGCAATTAAAACGAACATTTCCAGATGGTTATACGGTACTTCAGAGCTAATATTTAATCTTAATTGGCATCACGTTTAGTGCAAATAAAATTATATTTAGAGGCTTAGGAAAGTTTTGACAGGGAGGCTTCCCTAGAGTGAAATCATTCCCGCCTTTCTGTCAGTAACAATGTTGGCCAATCAAACCTATTGAAACTATTAATAACAATTCTGTTTGTTACACAGGGAGTTTCCCCGAAAGATGGTTTCAGTCATTATGCAAATGAGCCGCATGCTTTATACACTGGAAAGTTCTCTTTGGGTTTACACAAAAAAAGCCGATCCTGAAAGCCAGTCATTTCTGTAGGGAGTGGACTCAAGATATCAGAGTTGGACCTCACCCCCCTAGTTCTCTTATCAGTGAATAAACCCAAAAGAGGCACTCATTTCTTTGTGCACTAGCCACCACACGTTCAATTGAGAATACTCAGGCTCAACTCTGAGAAATTTCTTAAATTCTACTCACCAGTAATAATTTCATCACACTGATTTAATGCCAAAAAACATCAAAAAAAGAATCAGAATATTTCAAGCCACTCTATCATGTTTTCAACAAAACATCAGAGGTGGTCATTACAGAACAAGAAGCAAGTTAAACAAATTTTGTTTATTTCCACCATCCTAAGTAAACATGTCAATGAATATTTCCTCCAAATGTTCTTAATTTTAATTAAATTTTAAATTATAAAAAATTTCACATATTCAAAAAAATCATGTAACACACCCAGGTACCCTCCTTCAATTTCACAGATGTTGACATTTCCCCACCTTTGCCTCAGTTCTCTTCTTTAAAATAGTATATCTTTGAAGGTTGAGGCAGGAGGAGCGCAAGTTCAAAGCCAGCCTCAACAACTTAACAAGGCCCTAAAACAATTTAGCAAGACCTGGTTTCAAAATGAAAAATAGAAAAGGCTGGGGAATGCACTCAGTGGTTAAGCATCCCTGGGATCAATCCCCAGTATCCCCAGTACAAATATATATACATATGTATATATACACATACACACACACAAGTTGAGAGAGAAACACTGAATCTCATTTTAGTGGCTATTTCTACCTCTAATTTTAAAAATCAACACAATACATATTATAAAAAGTCATGAGGATATACAATAAAATGTGAAAGTTCTCAGACATAATCTTCCTTAATCTCTTAGTATTCCTTTTTCAATTATGCACATTATGAATTTTCTTTTCCAGTATAAATTGTCTTTTTATCTTTAAGCTGTCTTTTGTGTTTTTGCCAGGTTTAGGTAGTGCATGCCTGTAATCCTAGCTAGTCTGAAGCCTGAAGCAGAGGGATCCTCAGTTCCAGGCCAACCTGGGTCACATAGCAATACTTCATTTCAAAGAAGAGAGAGAGATTGGGCACATGTGGGGGGGGGGGGGGAATGGGAGGAATCCTTCCTTGTTCTCTGAAGAGATTCCCTCTACTTACTAAGAATATTGAAATTTCTGTCTTAACAATTAAGACAGAATCCTCAAACCATCTGTTTTTGTTTGTTTGTTTTTAATAGTGTTGCAGAACTACTGAACCTAGGGCCTAACACAAAGCTAGGAAAGTGCTCTACCACTGAACTACACCCCCAGTTCTGGGGTTAATTCTTTTAAATTAGGGATAAGGTGGAGATACAATTTCATCTTTTCATAAAATTGGTACTTTTTATTTATTTAGTACTTGGAATTGAATCCAGGGGTCCTTTACCACTGAGCTACATCTCCAGTTCTTTTTATTTTGGGACAGTCCTGTTAAATTGGTGAGACTGGCCTTGAATTTTCAATCTTCTTGTCTCAGCCTTCAGCATCACTGGGATTATAAGCATATGCCTCTGCACCTGGTAAATTGGTGTGTTTTTGTTTTGTTTCTGATACTTTGGATGTAACTCAGGGGCACTTGACCACTCAACCACATCCCCAGCCCTATTTTGTATTTTATTTAGATACAGGGTCCCACTGAGTTGCTTGGCAGCCTTGCTGTTGCTGAGGCTGGCTTTGAACTTGAAATCCTCCTGTTTTAGTGCCCCTGGGACACACACCCCCCACCCCCCCACCCTCTGTCTGGGATTACGGACATGCACCACTGCACCTGGCGCTTTTTTATTTCACCTTTTCTCCTGAGAATGAACTCAACTTAAAACCACTTCAAATTATCTCTTTGAGGTTTTCAAATTGGAGGCCAGCCTCAGCAATTTATCAAAACCCTATCTCAAAATAAAAAATAAAATGGGCCAGGGATGTAGCTCAATGGTATAAGATCTCTCGGTTCAATCCCCAGTACCTCAAGATTTATATATAAAAAATTTATTATATATATATATATATATATATACACACACACACACACACACACATACACACACACATATACTTAAACATTTTCAGATTCCCACATGTAGCTTGAGTTAGCTGCAGGCAATTAATTATAATGTGCAGACATTTGAGAAAGACAAGTTTCTTTGTCATTCTCATCTACATGGCAGTTTGTTTCTGGTTTGCTTTAATTTTGGAGGTATAGTTCTTTGAGATTCCTGTTTTATTGTTTCCAGCACCTGGCAAGTCCTAAATTTTATTTGCTGGTTTCCATGCCAGCTTCTAACAAAATTAGACCGATTTTAGCATTTAACCTGCAGCATGTTTTTAGCATTTAACAGTTGTTTTATCATTCTGCTACCTCCCAGGTGTCCTGCTTTGATATTGGAAATGGAGGTGACTTAAATATTGACTTCATCATTTTTCTAGCTTCTATTTAAACCTTTTGTACCCTACCAAAACCCAAGCAAAACAAAACAAAAAACTACCAAGATTTCCTGCAGATTATGTGCTTTCATTTTGTCTGCTAAGCCCTAGAGAAACCAGCCTGAGGGGCTTTGGGTTCAGCAACAGAATATGTGAATGAATTGCTTTTGTAATTTCTCATTGAGAAACTTTTAGGCTTCATTATATCACTTTTTGATGTAACCTTTAACTTATAAAATGAAATATTCGTATAATGAAAAAGGGTATAAAACAAAATGAAGACACAATATCTTTTTACACCCATAATGACATCAACATATATGTCATAGATTATTAGAAAAAATGGTTAAAATAAAGAAAATAGCTGATCCAGGTGTGATGGCACACATCTGTAATTCCAGCTACTTGGGACACTGAGGTAAAAGAATCAAAGTTTTTGGCCAACCTGGACAATTTAGCAAGACCCTATTTCAAAATAAAACAAAAAGAGCTGGGAGTAGTAGAGCACCCCTGGGTTCAATCTCCATTACCACTGAAAGAAAGGAAAGGAAAAGAAAGAAAACAACCACTGCAGTGGGGCACACTTGTAATTCTAGTAATTCAGGAGAATGAAGCGAAAGCTCAGGTGAACCAATTTGGGCATGGAAGGTGTCTCACAGTTAAGAGTGATTTTAAGGAACCTGACTAGGGAAGGGAAGGGAGGCTAGCAGTATGAAAATACTAGTGACTCAGCTACATCAATGTTATAGCAGTGCAATTCGCCATAGCTAAACTATGGAACCAAACTAGGTACCCTTCAACAGATGAATCGTATACATACACAATGGAGTATTACTCATCCATAAAGAAGAATGACTTTATGACATTTGCCTATAAATAGATGGATTTGGAGACTATCATGCGAAGTGAAATAAGCCAATCCCCCAAAACTAGAGGTTGAATGTTATCTTTGATACATGGAAGCTAATCCATTATGGGGGGTGGGGTGGGATAGAAGTTCAGTGGATTAGACAAAGGGGAATGAAGGGAAGGGAAGGAAGATAGGAAAGGGAAAGATAGTAGAATGAATCTGACATAACTTTCCTATGTAAGTATATGAATACACCACAGTGAATCTCACCATTGAGTGCATATACAAGACAGGGGTCCTAATTAGAGTAAGGCATATTCCATTCTTGTACAATTATATCAAAATAGATTATACTATCATATATATCTTAAAAGAACCAATAAAATTTAATAAAAGAAAATACTGGATACTGTGGGAGGCCAACCTTACGGGTTACTGAGTTATACTCCCCAGCTGTGTGCTGAGGCGCTCAGTTACAGAAATGGGTGTGTCTTGCTATAGCCCCATGGGTGAAGCTATGCTCACCTGTTCCTTTGTAATATAACCCCTTGTCCTGTTTAGGATAGAGTCTTCCATAGAAGTGCCTTGTGTGTCCGCTTCTCTTACTGTGCCCTTGGGTGTGGCCTACCAGGTGTCAGTCAACTTGCTTACAGTGGACATCATGAAGATAGACTGAACCCCTGAAACCTGACCCCTTGCCTTATTTGAATAGCTTCTCCTCAATAAAAGGGGTCAGCGCATGCTCTCGCGCTCTCTCTCTCTTTCTGTGGACCCTTAAGGTCAGAGGAGCCATCACAGCAACCCCAAAGAAAAAGGTAT